GCTTGTCTCTAATCATCCTAGACAATGTCCGATCATCCTGGACGATAGGACCGCCTTTTTGACCAATCATCCTGAATGCTATTATTGCTCTTGATCATCCTGGATGTTCCACGATCATCCAAGATGATTTGTCCAACTCTTTATAAATAGCTGATTTGAACTATTTTCTTCACTCCAAAGCCCTTCAAATCCTTCTCCCTTTCAGTCAAGCTCTCAAAATGGCTGGTGGTAAGAGTTCTAGAATGCTTACTAGAAGCTCCTCGAGGGCAAATGTAGACCCTTGATTCACTGAGGCATCAGATCAGGCTGCTTATCTCTGGTACAAAACTGTATAGATTACATCCTCTAAGATTGTCAATCCTCGCACACTTATCCAGTGTTAGATATGTTTGCTCATACTTCCCTTACTTTCATTCTGACCCTCGCATTCTTTTTCCACTCTGAACTTTTATATGAATTATTTACCAATCTTTGGCTTAACTCTACCTACACTGCCCATCAATCTTATGTAAATAAAAGACTCGTAGAAATCACTTATCAGGGCTGTCAGGAACTTCTTCAACTCTCCACCACTGGTGACAAACTTCATATCTTAGCTTTATATCCTGATTTCAACTGGAGCCCTATCAATCAATATTTAAGACACACTAATGCCACTTTTCATGATGGTGCATCTAATTTATTAGTCAAAGATGTTATGACTATTCAACATGTCATTTGAACCTCTATAACCTAAAAGCTAGTGACTGTATTCACAATATTCCTCTACTCTCCCTCACCACCAAGTATATCATGGCCTGTAGGGATTTAAATGCTACTGATCTTCTTTTTCAATACATTGAACACTTGACTAGTATTAGAGATTCCGGACATAAGAGGAAGCCAAATATGACCCTATGACACATCATTACATATGTTCTTGAAACAAAGTACAATCTTCAGCATTCTACCCTACCAAACTACTAACCTGCCTTCTACACCAATAGCTCCTTCCATGTCATTCACAGCACTCACCTCCATTTGGAGCACGAGGAGGCTGAGGGAGCAGAGGAAAAGGCTATTCCTGAACCTATTCCTATCCTCTAGTAGTCACAGCTGGATCATTTGGTAGAGAGGTTTGACCAGTGAGAGGCCAGGTTTGACTCCTACATCATTGCACAGGAGCAGTAGCATGCAGCGCATGTTGATCGTTTCAATGCATATGAAGCCCAACAACAGCAACAGCACGACTAGGATATGGCCTGGTTTGGGGAGCAATTTGTTTCATTTACAGTGTTTTTTAGCCATCACCAACACCTCCTTCATCTGATCAGGGTCCTTCATAGTAAATTGCTTGTTATTTTTGTGTGATGTTTTGTACTTGTTTGTACTATGTTCTGTTTAGTGGTTTTTTTTTTTTGTTTACTCCTTTTGGTGATGTCAAAAGGGGTGTAATGTTAGTGTTGTAACGTTTGCTTGTTTTAGTAAAATTTGCTTTGTTTTGCTTATATTGTTCTCCTTTATTTTATATTTTATTTTTTGAAAAATAAATTAAAAAGAAAAATATATTTGTGATTTAAAATGTTCCAACAACAATGTTTGTCATCATAAAAAAAGGCAGATTATTGCAGATCTAGACCCAAGTACAATGATTTTGATGATAACAAATATTATTGTTCCTTGATTACTACCATTCATGCATATATGTTTTATGTGCCTAGCTCACTAATAAAAAATTCAGGCCCACAAGTTCGCTTGGAACATCAATCAGCTCAAGATCAGGTAAACTATGATTAAGTCAGTATGTAATTTCTATTTCAATGCATTTTTTATCTTTTCTTCAGTCAAATGTACCTTGGTGGATCCTGAAGCTAAATAACCTTGCACACACACACTCAGGGGGAGAAATTTAGTGAGTTGGAATTTTTTCTATTTTTAATCATATTGTACAGAACGATTTTATATTTCTTGGATGATCAATCAAAAATAGAAATCATAATTAGGGTATTTGGGTCATGCAAACTTGCTTAAGCAAATCGTCCTAAACGAGATGCCCATCGTCCTGGACGATATGCTCAAATTAAAAATACTCAGCCTCCAAACTCATTTAGGCAAGATTTTATTTTTAAAATTTTGTTCTAATTGTACAGGATGATCCCATATCGTCCTAGACTATTGATTACAATCATACCTAAATTAGTAAGGTGATTAAGAAAAGTAATTAAAGTTAGATTGATCAATCATATCGTCATGGCTGATCGCATGATCGTCCTGGATGATCTGTGTGAAAAACTTTAGTTCTCTCCAGAATCTCCTGAACGTCCCGAACTATATGCTGGACGATAATCATTGATTTTGAACTAATCATACAGGATGATCCAAGCATCATCTTGGACAATAAGTTATATTTTTATATCGTCTCGATTTATATCATGGAAGTCCCGAACTATCTATTGGACGATATTGTATGATTCTGAACTAATCGTACGGGACGATGACCAAATCGTCTTGGACGATCAGAATAAACATTGTGTTTTAATCGTACAGCAAACCCAGATTGTCCTAGTTGGAAGGGTTGAAATACACTGATCGTATAGGATAATTTGTCGATCATCATGAATGATCTTTGATGGCAAGTTGAAAATTAAAGCAATTTTAAGGCCTTCTTTATAATATCTCTCAATTGCTTATGATATAATATTTTGTTGTTGTCCTGACCTGAGAAAGCTTAGAGAAGGAGAAGGAGAGCTTGAGAGAGAAAGAGAGAATCTTGTGAGGGGAAGTTTGTGAGGTGCTCAGAAAGGTTGCTCTTAGGAGGTCTTCGTCAGCATTAGATCAAGATTCCCTGCCTGCTTCAGGAGGAAGCAAAAGAAGTGGGGTTCTCTACCTGATTCAGGAGGAAGCGAAAAGAGTCTGGGTTCTCTGCCTCACCGGGGTCGGTGAAAATGATTTTGTAAGGGCTTCTTTACCTTTTTGTGGGGGAAAAAGGAGAGACACTACTATTTTAGTGCAATATTCGAAGGGTGCCTCCGAGGAGTGGGCGTAGGTCAAGTTGATCGAACCACTATAAAAATATGATGTGTTCTTTCTGTTTTATTCCTGCACTTTATTTTCCACACTTTTATTTTCTATGGCTGATTATATGGTTTAAAATCTCTGATTGGTTTTGTTAATCTCTTTCGCATCAAGGGTTGATCCTGTTTGTTTTAAATTATTTGAAAAGGTTTCAAAAAGATTTTGCTTTTGTTTAAAAATATTTAAAACCATCAATTCACCGCCCTCTTAGTTAGTCTCGGGTTAGTTCATAAGGGCTTAACAACCCTTTTGAACTTACAACCCCCACCTAGGGGCATAAGAGAGCCAAGCCGGCTCGAGCTCGTGAGCCGAGCTTATTGAGCCATGAGCTTGTTTATTAAACAAGCTCTAGTTCGAGCTTGAAGAGGCTCGGCTCGTGAACTAGCGAGTCGGCTCAAATTACTAATAGTATTTTAAAATAATTATATCTAAGAGAAGCATAACATTAAGTTAAGTGTTGCTGAGATGAGGATGCTAAGGTGGATGAGTGGATTTACTCTTAGATAAGATATGAAATGAGCATATCCGTGAAAAGGTTGGAATAGCTCCAGTGACAGATAAGTTTAGAGAGAGTCGCCTTAGATGGTCTGGTCTTATAAAAAGGGTGGCCTTCTAATGACCATGTTAGGAGAGTAGATACATTAGATTTAATATATGTTAAGAAATGTAGAGGTAGATCTAAAAAAATTTAGTTAGAAAATATTAAAAATGATCTTTCTTTGTTAGATTTAAATGAGTGACTCTTAGCAAGACACAATGGAGAAAACGGATTCATGTAGCCGAGCCACGTAGTGGGATAAAGGATTGATATTGTTGTTATTGTTGTTGTTGAATATTTAAAAAAATAATAATTGTGAAAAAGATAAAAACCAACCGCAACTTTTAAAATATTAGAGTTAAACATTTAAAACTATATAAACTATTAATGTTATATTTCTAATCAGACAACTTTTATGTGGAAAAAAGAATTAAAAAACAATCATGTAGCTTTTTAATAAACGTGATGCAGTTTTTTTTTTTTAAATCAATTTTAAAATTAATAAAAACCAAACTTGTTGTAGAACCTTTGCTGTGCATGTGGAAGAGATCATGTTCGGGTGGGACAAGCCAACTACGAGCGTAAAATCTCTGGATCGAGAATGGCTCGTGAGCTCGTTTACATTGGGACGAGCTCGCCTTCTCGAGCCAACTTTCTAACTGACGAGCTGAGCTTGATAGTGTCATAACTCGACTCGTTTACACCCCTATCCCCTACCCCCCTCGCTGTATAATATATATGTCACCTAGTAATGTCAACTTATGCCCCAACCCAAAAATTCGACCCAAAAAATCCGGTTTAGGTTGGGTTCTAATTCCTAACCTATTTGAAAAATCAGGTTGGGTTCGGGTAAACCCAACAACCTGAAAAATGATCCGTGTGACCGCACCGCGTCCACATCTAGACTCAAGCCCATGTGATTGCACTGCATCTGTCCCCATGATCATGTCCGCTCCCACCCCGGCCAGCTTGACCGCGTCCTGCTCCTGCCCACATGAGGCATGACGACACCATCCTGCTCCCGCCCAGCCGCGCTCAACCTGTACTCTGCACTCGCCTGGGCCCGCATGTCAGGACACGTTGACTCAGATTTGAAGCGGGTCGGATCCGGGTTCAAATTTCTGACATGTTTGTGTAATCGGGTCGGGTTCGGGTCAGTGTAGTCGAGGGCGGGTTAGTTTCGGGTTGGACCCAAACCCGACCCAAAAACCCATTTTAACACTCCCAATGCCATCCAAAACTTTTTTATTTACGCATCTAATACCAAGCAAAAAAAAGGAACTAGCTCATGCAATTGCATGTATAATAAACAAATTATCGAGAATTTGATGAAAGCAAAAAACATGGGATGTAGTGTTGTTGTGCTCTTCAAGAGTTAGATATAATCAAATAAGCAAAAAGATTTTACCTTGATTCTATTTGCCAGTAAATTATTCATCCCTCGCTCTCGAATAGCTTCAGAAATTTTATTTGCATCTGCATTTCGCACTGCTTCCCAATCTACTGAGTCCAAACTCTCACGGCTCCTCTCTTTCTTACCACCTTCAAGATCAACTTTTCTCCTCAACCCCTCCCAGTCAATTTTTCCTTCATCAACAGAATTTGCTTTCTTTTCATTTGATGTGTTTTCCTCTAACCTGAAATGAGCTTCTAACTCGCTTGAAGGACTGATGATAGCTTCCTTTTCAGCATCCATTTTATAGACATGATAATTGTTCATGTTAGAGCATGTTACCAATCCAGAAAGAGCACGAAGACGATCTCTACATTCATTTTCTGCATTCTCACGAAAAGCTTTTGAAATGATTGCTACATGTATAGGAATGCATCCATCCACATCAAACACTATAGCATTTTCACTATCCATTCTACTGGAAACAAAAGAATTTTGAATGTAGTGAGATTGACTTGTCAAGTCCTCCAGCGGATGCCCATTTAACTGAATGTCCATAGGATCTTGAGCATCACAATTAGATAGACCAGGAATGTTGTCTAGAAATCCCATGGCATCAGTAAAGGTCTCTTCATGTTCTTCATCCAGTTTTCTCTCAGAACTTCCTCCCTCCCCTCTTCTGTGAAGAGGAAATTTTGCAGCAAGGGACATAAAGGCAGAACTGCATATAGTAGATAAAATGCTAATTTTATAAGACAAAATGGAATAGGGAAAAGGACCAAAATAATCCTTTGACTCTTTATAAAGAACTAAAATGATCCTCATCTATATTAAATGATCATTTTTACTCTCTCAAGTCCTTAACAATGAATCAAAATCATCTCATTGTGGGACTATTTTGATTCCTCTTTAAAAAGCTGAGAGACCAAAATGATCATTTAATATAATTGATAACTATTTTGATCCATCATAAAGAGTCAATAGACTATTTTGATCCTTTTCTCAAATGGAATACAAACTAACTTTCATTTGGAATAGGTATCTACAAAAATCCAATAAAGAACTTCAAAAATTTACACATTAATAGATCCAAAAGCTTAGAGAAGATCTGGCATAGGCCAACTTGAACAGAGGGTAATGAGGTACAATTGGTAGAGTAATTATTCCCATCCCAAATAATCCTGTTGAGAAATACATGCATAGCCTCCCATTAACGGTTAACTAATCTCTCAGACTTATGTCCACGTAAGTGAATAGCAGCCATTGCAAGGAAATATATGCATATATTATAGCACGTAAGGGTACATTTTCAAATACCACATATGGTTACGAAGAACTAAATAATTTTGTATTAGACTCATATAATAAGATTGCTACCTTGACAAATGATCTGATACATTTTGGGTAAGAAAAACGCCAACCACAGAGTCCACAATTGAACCTTTCCAAGGAGAGAACCTCCTGCCGCCTGTAGAAAGATAAAGCAGTTAAGTATGCAGCTATTTATGCTCCTTTTCAACAAATATCATCGACTTGGTGATAGCAAAATAAATGAACCATAATTGGATCTATTCAAATGTAGCTTTTGTAAACAATAATCATGTACTTCTAACATTGTTTCAACTGATTACTGTACAAACTTAATTCAACATATTCTAACATTTGAATAGTTCATTTTCTGAATGTACTAAGTTAAGAGTTTACTTATCTAAGAAAAATTTGCATTTTATCATTGTATAATTATCAAAACAAATTACGAAAGCCCAAGAAATTCCATTAAAATAGTCTAATTTTTCAGCCTAAATAAGAAAATGAAACACATTAGATATTATGTTGAGAATAATGTACAAGGGAAATGATTAAACACATAAAATGAGAATCATGCGGGCAGTGAAAGTATAAGGCACAATTTGAAAGTTAGATTGGATAGCGGGCATAGACAATTTTTTAGCTGGAGCCTTTGTCTCCCTTGATCCACTAATTTTCCTCTTGCTCCTACCACCTTGCCTGTTATTAAACATATACCCTGAAGCTGTTGACTGATCATTTTTCAAAAGAAGAGATGGAAGCCATTTCTTTAGCACATATATAGAGTCTTCCAATATTTTGTTTGTTGAATGATATAGACCCTCCTGGGCTTATAGCCTGTTTTAGTCTATATTTCCTCTCGCTTAGAATAACAAAATAGAGAAGGCAGGGGGTTCTAATTTTATCAACAATATAACTCAGGGTATCTACAGGGCATTCAATATTAAGTTGCAATAATTCTGCTTTAAGTAGTAGAGGTGAAAATGATTTCATGGGTAGTTTAGCAAGCTCTTGCAACAACTCATCAATTCTAATATTAACATCTCTTGAACAATTACTAGATCCTGCTGGCAAATTCTCTGTAATCACTCCATCCACAAGGTTCCACATTTTTTTTTCAGCAGCATAATCATCTTCATCGAATTGGATTATGTTAGAAGGATGAATTGCCTCATCAGCAGAAGTAGGCTTGGGTTGATCACTAGGTTCTTCCCATTCATCATCATCTTCTAAATAAATTTCAAACAACCTTTTCTTTGCAAAAGTCTTCCCTCCAATCACTTTGCCCTTTTTCTTCCCCGGAGATTTCTGACTGAGTGTTTGAGGAGCCTTTGGAGTCTCCATCTTAGACTTACTTTCCGTTTTGTCAATTTCGACCACCTTGGGCCTGTACTTCTTTCACTTCTTTTTAATCTTCCACTCATCTGAATCTGCTCCGAGCTTTCCACGATCAACATGCACGCTATTTCCAGATTTATCCAAAACTAAAGCCTCTAAAAATTCACCGCCAGAGCAATCAGCTGAGCGAATCCTTGTAAAAGCAGCAGAAATAAGAGATTTCTGTTTGGTGTTTGAGGAGGCATTGGAATTCCCATCTTAGGTTTCCTTTCTGTCATCTCAATTTCAACCACTTTGGGCCTTTGCTTCGTTCTCTTCCCTTTCTTCTCCGCTGCTTTGGATCTGATCCCATCTTTGCCCCATCATCATGCATACTATTTCCAGGTTTGTCGGAAACTAAGGCATCTAAGAATTCATTGCCAGAGCAAGCAGTCGACTGAGTGCCTTCAAAACAATAGAGATTAGGGATAAAGAAATAGGAGAGCTCCATTTGCAGAACCTTCTCCACTGTAGTTCATGCTTAATTGGGGTAAGACCTTTACTTGAAACGCGCACTGCCTGCGACTCATCGCCACTTGAGCTAACCACGGCTTTGAGAATCTCTATCGACGAACTGAGGTTGGAAATCACTACGGAGGTAGCTATAATCCTGACAAAAAAGCCTGAGTTTATTTGTGCTGTAAGTGAAGAGATAAAAAGTTCATCATGTATATGATCTCGTACCTCCATGACAACGCTTTCGCTGGCCTTCCCAGCTGAAGTATCCATGCTGATTCTTCAGAACAACAATGCAGGCTGAAATATTCTCGCCGTCGTTCACATCGCTCGGCCTCTTCATTGCTAGGTATTAGGTATTGACAGCCGGACCAGCTGGTGATGCACCAAAATTCTGAGATTTTGGAGAGAAAAGGTCCCCGAGACCGGAGAACGGTGGTTGTTGGAGAACAAATCGATTATTTTTTTTGCATTTTTTAATTATTTTGTATTTCTTTAGCTGGTCCGGCTGTCAATACCGAGGGCGAGGGATGTGGATGAAGACTAGACTAGAATATTTTGGTCTGCATTGTTGTTTTGAAGAATCAGCATGCATACTTTGGCTGGGAGGGCCAGCGAAAGCGTTGTCATGGAAGTACAAGATCATATACATGATGAACTATTTATCTCGATCTTCACTTATAGCACAAATAAACTCAAGCTTTTTTGTCGGGATTATAGCTACCTCCGTAGTGATTTCCGACCTCAATTCGTCGACAAAGATTCTCAAAGCCGTGGTTAGTTCGGTTAGTTCAAGTGGCGATGTGTGGCAGGCAGTGCGTGTTTCAAGTAAAGGTCTTACCCCAATTAAGCGTGAACTACAGTGGAGAAGGTTCCGCAAATGGAGCTCTCCTTTTACTTCACTACGGAGGTAGCTATAATCCCGACAAAAAAGCCTGAGTTTATTTGTGCTATAAGTGAAATCGAGATAAATAGTTCATCATGTATATGATCTTGTACTTCCATGACAACGCTTTCGCTGGCCTTCCCAGCTGAAGTATCCATGCTGATTCTTCAGAACAACAATGCAGGCTGAAATATTCTCGCCGTCGTTCACATCGCTCGGCCTCTTCATTGCTAGGTATTAGGTATTGACAGCCGGACCAGCTGGTGATGCACCAAAATTCTGAGATTTTGGAGAGAAAAGGTCCCCGAGACCGGAGAACGGTGGTTGTTGGAGAACAAATCGATTATTTTTTTTGCATTTTTTAATTATTTTGTATTTCTTTAGCTGGTCCGGCTGTCAATACCCAGCAATAAAGAGGGCGAGGGATGTGGATGAAGACTAGAATATTTTGGTCTACATTGTTGTTCTGAAGAATCAGCATGCATACTTTGGCTGGGAAGGCCAGCGAAAGCGTTGTCATGGAAGTACAAGATCATATACATGATGAACTATTTATCTCGATTTCACTTATAGCACAAATAAACTCAGGCTTTTTTGTCGGGATTATAGCTACCTCCGTAGTGATTTCCGACCTCAATTTGTCGACAAAGATTCTCAAAGTCGTGGTTAGTTCAAGTGGCGATGTGCCGCAGGCAGTGCGCGTTTCAAGTAAAGGTCTTACCCCAATTAAGCGTGAACTACAGTGGAGAAGGTTCCGCAAATAGAGCTCTCCTTTTACTTTATCCCTAATCTCTATTGTTTTGAAGGCACTCAGTCGACTGCTTGCTCTGGCAATGAATTCTTAGATGCCTTAGTTTCTGACAAACCTGAAAATAGTATGCATGATGATGGGGGAAAGATGGGATCAGATCCAAAGCAGCGGAGAAGAAAGGGAAGAGAACGAAGCAAAGGCCCAAAGTAGTTGAAATTGAGATGACAGAAAGGAAACCTACGATGGGAATTCCAATGCGCAACTTTTAATATGTTATCATATTGATTATTCTAGATATTTTGACTGGAACATTCATGAATTTCACAGATAAAATAGAAGTTGTTGTTTCTTCTACAGTTTGCACTAAATAGTAGTTTGAGTGATTTTATTTAAGCATATTTTTTATACAAGCATTGTGAATGAAAATTGGTATGTGATTAGGTGATAGCAAGATGCTATTACAGTTATAATACTATGATAATAATATGTGTGGGGACAAGTAAAAAGCTAGTTTTACTAATGTTGGTTGTAGACTAACTAGCTTATATAGGATGGGGGATCATTGGACTTTCTTTTAAATATTTTGATTTGGTATTATCTGAAAGTGCTCTGATGGCACAAGAAAGTTCGTTATGGATGTTAAGCCCTATAAAACTGGCTCAAGGCTAACAAAGAGAGAGGTGAATTGGATAATTTTAAAACCAAAGATAAAACTCAAACCAAAATCACCACATAAATCAAAGTGCGGAAGAAAATAATGCGGAAGCAATAACAAGAAAATAACACACCGAATTTATAGTGGTTCGGTCAAACCTTGACCTACGTCCACTCCTTGAAGGCACCCTCCAAGTATTGCACTAAACAAGTGTCTCTCCTTTAGCCCCGACAGCTAGGCGGAGAAGCCCTTACAAAATCACTTCCACCTTCCCCGGTGCGGCGGAGTCGTCGGGTCCTTTGACACCAAAGAGATCTTGTTCTTTGTTGAACTTCCCTCGATACAAGCCTTGAATCCGACGATATTAAGGTGCAAGCCTGTCGGAGCAACCTTGTGGAATCCCCCTCCACACTCCCTTGAGTCCCCCCTCACAAGATCTTCTCCGGCCCACTCTCAGACTTCACCCGTTCCTCACTCCCTTTCAAGCTTTCTCTTCAAGATTCCCCCACAAGAACGAAGCTACATTGGCTTCCAAAGACACTAACAAAGTGCCTTGTCATCTCTTAAATAGAAAAGCTCAAAACGAGCTCATTAATGCAAGTTGCCGACATTATCGTCCAGAACGATAGGTATATCGTCCTGGTCGATCAGTACAAATTCAGCTCATCAGCCCGGGACGATTTGGGACGATCAGAAGAAAATTGGTTACATCGTCCTGGCCGATATCACGATCGTCCAGGCCGATTAGTTTAAAAATGATTTCAATCGTCCTGATCATCGCCATAAATTTGAGGTTTCCAATGTAGATCGTCCAGGACATCGTACCGGCCGATCCGGAGATCGTCCCGGACGATGTGATCATACTAATCAACCATTAATGCTTTTCGAATATACCATATCAATTTAGGCATAATTGAGTTAGATCGTCCTAGACGATAGGAATATCGTCCTAGCCGATTTCCTAAAACAAAGAATACCTAAACTAATTATGGCGGCTGATTCTTTCTGAATTGAGTATATCATCCTAGTTGATACAGGTATCGTCCAGGCCGATCCGCTAATGACGACTGCCTTAATGAGGATGTCCTAATTAGGGTTTCTGTTTTTAGACAGATCATCCAGGATGATATAAATATCGTCCCGGATGATATTACCAAAACTAGAACTCTTTTAGGGAACAATAGTGAATCTACCAAGTAACAAATCATCCGGTGCCACACCAAATACAATAGACTCAAGAAAGAAAAAATAGTACAAACTGACTCAGATCTAGTCTACCCAATCTTGAAGTGGTTCCAAATTACAGTCTGATCGTGTGAACCTGAAATATCAGTACATAAGGCTGTCGTAGAGAAATAAGAATGTTTGATATCATCAAAATCATAAATCATTGATCTGCAACAATCTACCCCTTTTTTATGATGGCAAACAATCCAATTTGAATTTAAAAAAAAAATCTCATAATCTCCCCCTCACTAGAATAAACCCTTTTAAAAAATAGGGGAAATAAAAAATGTTTTTGTTGTTTTTAATTTTTTGAAAAGAAAAAAAAGTATACAAATTCAACATTACGTTACAATTCAACATTACGTTCTCCCCCTTTGACATTATCAAAAAGAGAGGATGCATAAAAAACAAAATGACCAAAAGAAAAAAAAAACATTCCCTGATCTAGTGAAAAACAAATATTTTTAAAATGAGAAAGTTACCTCTTGATTTTAATCAAAAACTTAGTAAGGAATGGGTTGACAATGCATAATCCAGAAAAAAGTAAGAAATTCATAAATTGTTAATTCAAACTCAAGTTTTTTAAAAAGACTCAAAAACTTTTTAATCTAATATCCATATCAAGAAATAAATAAGAAAAAGAAACATTAATTTTTCAAAACTCCTTTCATAAAATATACTAATAGAAGATTAATGCAAGAATTATTGAATCAGGAATCATGTTTTTCAAAATGAAGTATCGAAATTATCAAGGATTTTTTTAAGCTTTTAAGAAGTACAATAATGGTAAGCATTAAATTTTGTGGGCTCATTTTATGCCTCTTGTCAATTTGAATGACGCTCTTTGCGCATCTTTTGATTTTTGATACACTTTTGCATATATTTTTCAATTTGACGTCATTGCGCATCTTTTATTTTTGGCATCATTGGCCATTTTTTTTTAATATTCTACCTTTCTGAAATCTTAAAAAAAGAAAGTAAATCCATCCTATTGATAAAGCGAATTCTTGATTAAGAAAATTATGAGTTAGATTCAACAACTTGTAAAAGATTTCTATGAGATAAATAAAATGTAAGGAGATAAAAAATTTAATTTTAAAAACTAATTTAAAAGATGAAAAAGATTTTAAATCAAAAGTAGAATAACCTCTTTTAGGAAATAGAGATTGAGAATAAAAAACATGAGTTTCCTTCCTTTGACTGTTTTAGAGAAGTCAAACACAACTTACCAAAGATTTTAAGAAAAACAGAAAGTAGATTTTTCATTTTTTGAAAAATGAATGTGTGTGTTGATCACAGAAAAACTTTCATAAAAACAAAAATTTTAAAGAATAAACAAAACTAAAACAAAAAAAAAGAAAAACATAAAAACACGAAAGGCTTTTAACCATTCTCTCTCCTGGTCCGATGCTTCAGAAAGCTGATCTGCCCATGAGATTTTTTGCCTTTTATTATTTTCCCAGTTTAAATTTTGCTTCGCCTTGCACTTTTTTTTTGTTAGGAAGAATTTTTAAATTAGGGCACTGATTTTTCATTTGTCTAGGCTTCCTACATCGAAAGCAAATAACGTTAGGAGGGATATGAATATCCTTACCATTTTTACATTTTTTTCCACTTTTGCTTATGTTTTGGTAAGCTTTGTGATTTGCTTGACAATTCATTGCATTTGTTACCAACTAAGCTATCTCTTTCTATATCTTCAGCTTTTAGAACAATCGTTTTACATGCATCCTAAAGTCTTTGACCCGAACCTTACTCGTAAGCAATGAGTGAGCCAATCAAATTATCAATAGAATAATCATTCAAATCTTTTGATTCATAAATAACAACAACTTTGGCACCAAAATTTTCAAGTAAATAGCTAAGAATTTTGTTAACTTTTTCAAAATTTGAAAATTCTTTTCCTAAGCCATGTAATGATGTTACAATTTTAATGAACATGGTATACATGTCTAAGATCGTTTCAAAAGGTTTCATGGAAAACAGTTCAAAATCATGCATTAACATATTCAACTTGGATTGCTTGATTTCAATAGTACTTTCGTATATGATGTGTAGTTTATCCCAAACTTCCTTACTAGTAGTACACGTGAAAACTAACATAAAATCTTCAGAATTTAAAGCACACAGAAAAAGTAGTTTAAAGATTTTGTATTCAATTGAGTATTTACTTGTTCTTCCCTATTCCATTGATTAAAAGGAATATCAGTTTAACTCCATTAACAATACGTGACGGTGATGAATAATCAGTTAAAATCATATGCCACATGTGAAAATTAATCGATTGCAAGAAAATAGACATGCGAGTTTTTCAAAAATCAAAAGACATATTTTCAAATAAAGGAGGTCTGGTGATTGAATAACCTTCTGCAATATTACGATTCAAAAAATTAGCCATGGATCAAAATTCAAAATTTTTTAAAAACTTATTTTAGGAAACCGGCTCTGATACCACTTGAAATTGCTATGATGGCACTAGAAAGTTTGTTAGGGATGTTAAGCCCTATAAAATTGGCAAAATGCTAACAAAGAGAGAGGTGAATTGGATAACTTTAAAACCAAAGATAAAACTCAAACCAAAATCACCATAGAAATCAAAGTGCGGAAGAAAATAATGCTGAAGCAATAATAAGAAAATAACACACCGGATTTATAATGGTTCGGTCAAACCTTGACCTACGTCCACTCCTCGGAGGCACCCTCCAAGTATTACACTAAATAAGTGTCTCTCATTTAGCCCCCACAGCTAGGTGGAGAAGCCCTTACAAAATCACTTCCACCTTCCCCGGTGTGGCAGAGTCGCCGGGTCCTTTGACACCAAAGAGATCTTCTTCTTTGGTGAACTTCCCTCGAGACAAGCCTTGAATCTGACAGTATTAAGGTGCAAGCCTGCCGGAGCAACCGTGTGGAATCCCCCTCCACACTCCCTTGAGTCCCCCCATACAGGATCTTCTCCCTCTCGAAGACTTCACCCATTGCTCACTCCCTTTTAAGCTTTCTCTTCAAATTTCCCCCACAAGAACGAAGCTACATTGGCTGCTAAAGATACTTACAAAGTGCCTTGTCATCTCTTAAATAGAAAAGCTCAAAACGAGCTCATTAATGCAAGTTGCCGACATTATCGTCTAGGACGATAGGTATATTGTCCTGGCCGATCAGTACAAATTCAACTAATCAGCCCGGGATGATTTGAGACAATTAGAAGAAATTTGGTTACATTGTCCTGACCGATATCACAATCATCCAGGCCGATTAGTTTAAAACTAATTTCAATCGTCCTGTTCATCAGCCTGAATTTGAGCTGTCCAATGTAGATCGTCCAGGACATCATCCCGGCTGATCCGGAGATCGTCCCGGACGATGTGATCGTATCAATCAACCATTAATGCTTTTCAAATATTCCAGATCAATTTTATGCATAATTGAGTTAGATCCTCCTAGACGATAGGAATATCGTCCTAGCCGATTTCCTAAAATAAAGAATACCTAAACTGATTATGGCTACTGATTCTTTCTAAATTGAGTCTATCGTCCTGGACGATACAGGTATCATCTAGGCCGATCCTCTAATGACGGTTGCCTTAATGAGGATGCCCTAATTAGGGTTTCTGTTTTTGGACAGATCGTCTAGGATGATATAAATATCATCCCGGACGATATTACCAAAACTAGAACTCTTTTAGGGAACAATAGTGAATATACCAAGTTACAAATCATCGGGTGCCACTCCAAGTACAACAGACTCAAGAAAGGAAAAATAGTAGAAACTGACTCAGACCTAGTGTACCCATTCTTGAGCTGGTTCCAAATTGTAGTCTGATCGTGTGAACCTGAAATGTCAGTACATAAGGCAGTCGTAGAGAAATAAGAATGTTTGTTATCATCAAAATCATAAACATTGATCCGCAACATTATCCTCTACTAATTCACTTGATTTATTAATTGTGAATTATAAAGAGTTATTGTTGTGCTGACGGGCAAGAAGTGGTGACTCTTTTTATTGAGCCAACAATTACTAACAACCAACTTACAACTAGAAAAACATTACTTTGCCATAACTATTTTATTGTTTAGTGTGATTATTAGATTGCATGTTATTGATTCATTATTATTGTATGACCTTACTGTCATTATTATTGTATTACTTTATTGTTACAATCACCGACACTACTAATATTGATATTGACTTATTAATACTATTATTTTTTATTGATTCATTGTTACTAATTATGTGATATAATAAACATATGATTATGGTAATGATACTGATTTAATGCTGATATAAAGTAATTGGATAATATATGTATACTATTACATGATTTTACTATATTGATATGGTTTCGACGGTCTTCATCGAGGCTTTGGTTCTACTAATTAACATTATTTTCTTATTATTTTAATTCCATTACAATGATGATTTTTTTATTGATTTGACATCCATGCTAGTTTACTAGCTTTCGAATCGTATTGTTGAACTATTTCATAAATTTTATTGTTAATACATATGTTTACTATTTATGCACAAATTTTTGATCATAATGATTACTATTAGCATCATGAAAAATGCCAGCACCACAGTGCTATCCAGTAGCTATAGAATAAGATCTCCACCAATGACACCATACTAATCCTTGCCTCATAGTGCCAAATCACCAGAGTGCTGTGATGTAGCAATTAATTCAATTAAAAATAGGAGAATGGCATGTCAATTCAATCACTGTATGATAGAGAATAGCTTCAATGTTTTGGCATTAGTTTAAATTGGGACCACCAGAGTGCTATCATTACCATTACCATAGTGCTAGTGGTAGCTATGGGTCATAAATATAAATAGCATGATTGAAATTTTTATGGGGGCTGACATATTTTACTCTTATAAGTAGTCTTAGGCAGAGTCTAATGGAGTGGATAATGTTTGTGTAAGGCAAGGAAAGTGGAGTAAGGTGCAAGGAGAGTACACAATCAATTTTTGGAAGACATTATACCTACATTTTACCTTCTCTTATAATTTTTGTTTAAATTGTAATGAAGACTTATGTTTATTTGAGAATCATGCTTGCATATATTTGATCTCAAAATTGTTATGTATGCAACACTATTTCTAATTCTTCCATGCTTCATTTAGATTATGTATAGGCCTTACACAACTTTAAATTTTAGTTTGATCATGCCCTCAATGAAGGCACAGTGTAATTAATTAAGAGAATTTGAATAGATTTCTCTCATACATAGATATATGGTGGATGGAGATCTAGGAACCTTAAGGAGATAAAAAAACCATAGCGAAGTGAAACTTTGTTAAGAACTCCAACGAGCTCGACAAAGATTAGGAGTTTCTTATACTTTAATCTACAACAACAAAAATAAGAGATCAATCTATATGAGCATGAATTCTTAACTAACATAAGTTTAGGGCCTTATTACCATACATTTTCTTCTAGATGGACTTAATTGATAGATTTAACTAGGACCACCTTTTAATTTTAACAGTAGGATAAATAAAGTAATTCATAAAGATAGTAATAAAGTAATTTTGAGATCATAATTATCCCCATGGGAATGAGCTCAGTATTATATTAGTTGACACGACACATTCACTTAATTGACATAGAGTTCTGGGGTTGTGAACACACATCAAGTTTTTGCGTTGTTTCCAAGGATAGTGGTATTATCATATTATTTACTCTATATTACGTGAAGGATTGTTGATTTACTCTTATCTTTTTTCTTATTCAACATGTTTTGTATTTTATGGTTGTTTGCTTCTATTGTACTAGTGCATTTTTGCTTTTGTGAGTTGTTAAATTATGTTGTGATTTTTATTTTAATATGTGTTTGTTGTTGCATGTATTGTAGAACCTAATTAAGAGAAAAATTTTTTGACTAAAAACATAAAACAACCATAAAAAATTAGAATGACTACAAAAAAAGATTTAGAAATGGCCAACCCATTTCATGAGAATGACTAGCCTAGACCTTTAGAGATTATGTAAACCTATTAGAAGATGGCATTCATTAGAGAATTAGTAGACTCAACATCCAAGCTAATAATTTTGAGCTTAAACATGTAATCATCTAGATATTAAAAAACTTATAGTTTTGGAGAACAACTATTAAGGATTCAAACTTATATATTACTAATTTCTTAAATATGTGTACATCATTTAAATATAATGGAGTCTTTGATGATCCTATTAGATGTAGACTGTTCCCATTTTTATAAAGTAACAAAGCAAACATGTGTTTAAATTCCTTACACATAGGTTCCATTATCACTTGGAAGGATTTGGCCCATAAATTCCTAACAAAATACTTACCTCCATTTAAAATAACTAACCATAGGAATAAAATCACATCTTTCACCCAATTAGATGGAGAGTCTATCTGTGAAGCTTAGTAAAGATTTAAGGAGTTGCTTATGAGGTGCCCACATCATACATTACTTAATTAGTTGATTGTGCATATATTTGACAATGGGTTAATAGGATATCTTTGGTCCATCCTAAATGTTGTAGCGAGAGGTTCATTAATGTCAAAGCCCTTCAATGAACATAATGCTTTAATTAAAGAGATGAGCACTAATAACTTACAATGGCCTTTAGTAGGAGTCAATCCTAAAAAAGTAGCCAATGTCTAAAAGTACTCAAATAGTTTTCATATCTAAGATATTAGATCATCTTGGAGTTAGTACAACTCATGGAGCACCTATGATAGTAGATGAGAGCCTTTTTGGACTATCTAATGACCACAATCCTTAGAAGTAGAATCTTTAAATGCTATCAAGAATAATAAGTAGAATAGTCAGTACTCTAACACACACAAACATGGTTTAAACCACCCTAGTTTTCACTGGAATAATAGTCAAAATGGGGGTAATAATTATAATAATAGTTAACCAAACCATGTAGAGATCTAGAACAATCCTCAATAAAACTTTGGAAATCCTATGCCTAACTATCCTCAAGGATTTAATTCAAATAATCAATAAGCCTTCCTTAGAAGACTTAGTGTTTTAGATGAGGACCCAACTTCAGAGTTAAATCACTTCCATTAGAAATATTAAAATATAACTAGGGTAGATGGCTATTTCTATAAATATTTAACCACAAGGAATCCTACCAAGTAATACTAAGGTTAGTTCCAATGATAAGGGAAATGAGAAATGTAAAGCCATCAGATAAATGAGTGGTAAGGAGTTAGAGGTGGTGGTTAGGGACAAGGATAAGTTTGAGGAGAAGAAATATGGGGAACCATCTATAAAATCCACCAAAATAGTAGAATAACCTATATTATAGGTGAAAGAAGATAACCCCATAAGAAATATTATAGAAAGACCACCACTACCATCCTTTCCTCAAAACCTTTTGAAATAAAACCAAGATATGCAATTCTCTAGATTCTAGAAGTGTTTAAAAGTTAACCATCAATATTCCATTTATAGAAGCCTTAGAGTTAATGCCTAGCTATACCAAATTCATGAAGAACATCCTTAGTAAGAAGAGAAATTTAGGAGACTTTCAACCGAACGGATGTCCTATGACAATAAGCCAATGAAGGTGTTCTGGAGGCTTTTGGGTGGCGAGGGTTGTTTGGCTGTGATGCTTGGGTGGAGCTATGGGATTTTAGCCTTAGAGCTCATTTGAAACTTCAGCCCAAGGTCCCAACCTCATCCAAATTTCTACTTTATGTAAAGAGTGGGGGTCTATTAAGAGATTTTTGGGAGTGGTATTCCTTATAATTATAGAGAAATTTTGGAGCAATTTTGGAGTGTTGCATTAGACGAACCATATTGATTCGATCAATCATGGAGTGTTTGTTCAGCATTTAAGTGCTTTTATGATTTCAAAATTAAGCAATCATGGGCTCGTTAGATTCCTCTCATCGAGCAGCTCAATTCAACTAGAAGCAAGCCTTGTTTGGACATAATTTTGTCATTCAATTAATGTTTTGAAGTTTCCAATTATGCTTCGGCGCCTTGATTTGGGCTCGTTGGGGCTTAGATTGGACCAATTTTAGTATCTTTTCATCCGTATTGTCTAAACGTCCAATTTGATTATAATTTTGCTGAAATTTAAGCTTGGATAATCCTAATTTTAAAATTTAAAGTTTCTAACTTGAATATGCCTCAAGATTTAAAGCTCAATGCAATTTTTGGCGACGTTTCAAATTATTTATTTAAGTTTGTATATATTTATATACCGTCAGGCCTGTTTAGGACACGATAGGCCTGTTTAGGATTTGCTTTTTCTTTTTCTCAAAGTACTCCGTCAACGTTTGGTTCTTGCCCGCTTATTTCTTCGTTGTTCGGCATTCGCCTGTATAGCCCGAAGTAGAGTTTTGATAGAGTCGCTTCTTGGCCTCATTCGACGACGTTCTTTTCCTGTGGGATTGGACTTCACACAGTTCGATTTGCTGCAAGTTTTTGATTTTCTGGACAGTTGGCGGGATTTCGGTAATAAGGAAAAACATTTCTGTTTTTTTACTGTTGCTGTTTTTATCTATCATTTATGGAGAGAAAGAAATTACCGGAGGTTTTCTAATACCTGGAGAAGTCCTAAGGAGCTTAATGATGTTATTACTCATGCTATTCGTGCTAAGGTAAAGAGGTGGAAAAATTTTGACGTTCTTAAAGATAGATTTGCTCATATTCTGCTTTGACGGGTTCCATGCGGGTGAATTCCTGGTTTGGTTTTCTCTCTGTGTGGTTGGTGTTCTACTGGAGCATCTGTTCTCTGTTTTGCTCTTTTTGGTTTGTTGCAGCGTATGCTATCATCTTGCTGAGGATTGGACTTTTTGGCGGCTGGAGCTGGATTTTTGGAATTCTTTCTTCTGCAAATCCTTTCTTGGGTTCCAATTCTCATTCTATATAGTTTTTGGGACGATGATGAGCCATGGTCTGCATCGATCCAGCTCCCTTGGATGGCCTTTGGCAACCAGGTTTCGCGTTGGTGTTTTTCGGACGCTGCGAGGGCCTGCAGTCTTTATCCAGGCAACTGGCGTCTATTGGCTGGATTCTGGATAGCTCATGTGCTGGGCTTTGTTTTTGCTTACTGATGTAGACCTATTTCTGAGTCCAAATATTTTCTTTCTTATAAATGTTGTTCTTTTCTTTCTGGTTCTGGGTGGTATAGGATTCTATACTTACTTGTAACTATTTTGATTTGTTTGTGTAACCTTCTTCTTTAATACATGGGCTTTGGCCCCAAATTTTCCCAAAAAAAAATTTATACTGTAATAACATAAAGGAAAATAAAGCAGCAAATCAGTAGTACTGGGAGTGAATTCTTTTGATACTAAATGGGAATATATACCGTCAGGCCTGTTTAGGACACGATAGGCCTGTTTAGGATTTGCTTTTTCTTTTTCTCAAAGTACTCCGTCAACGTTTGGTCCTTGCCCGCTTATTTCTTCGTTGTTCGGCATTCGCCTGTATCGCCCGAAGTAGAGTTTTGATAGAGTCGCTTCTTCGCTTCATTCGACGACGTTCTTTTCCTATGGGATTGGACTTCACATAGTTCGACGACATTCTTCTGGGCTTGCTTGCTGCGGAGGTGACCATGGGGCTAAGGGGTTTGAATAATTTGGGCAATACTTGCTTCATGAACTCTGTATTGCAGGCTTTGTTGCATACAACGCCATTGAGGAACTACTTCTTGGGTGATCACCACAAGCGGGAGGTTTGCCGAAAGAGGAGAAGGAGGAGAGGGGCTTTGGCGGTGGCTGGTGGGGGAGAAGGGCCATGCTTGGCTTGTGTTGTAGAGGGAGTGTTCTTGGATGTGTTTTCTGGCGACCGGAAGCCATATAGCTCTACGAGGTTTTTTTTAAAGGTTAGAGGTTGATTGATTTTGGGTTGTGGATAGAATGCTGATGGGATTGTGCTTATTGTCATGTTAAAAAGTTGGAAATAAGGTTTTTTGGAATTTTAAATAGATGATTGATTTTGTTTGTTAGTGAGGTTAAAGTTTTTATTTTGTTCATTCCTGCAACGCAATTTCTAAAGATCTAAAAGCAATTTTATGATGCCTCATTAACAAACACATCCAAGAACACTCCCTCTACGACACAAGCCAAGCACGGGCCTTCTCCCCCACTAGCCACCGCCAAAACCCCTCTCCTCCTCCTCCTCTGTCGGCAAACCTCCCGCTTGTGGTGATCACCCAGGAAGGTGTTTCACAATGGCGGTGTATGCAACAAAGGCTAGAATACAGAGTTCATGAAGCAAGTATTGCTCAAATTATTCAAACCCCTCAGCCCCCATGGGTACCTTTTGTTCCACTCAAAATGAATAAAACAACTTAATTTAGCAAATACGTGTAACTTTACCCACGTAATACTGTATACCAAACAACCCCTAAATCTAATGATTTTGAAATACCCCAAGATTGAACTAAATGGTAACTCTAAAGAGTTTAAATTTTTTACTTCCTACCAAAGATCAATATTAAAAAAATTCCTATTTTTTAATTACTTTAACACTCTTGTTACTTCAAATAAAAAAACCCACTTAAAGAAAAAAACTTTTTGATATCTTTTGATATAACTAGCAAGTGTTTGATGGGAGCTTTCCTATAAGTAATCAAAATCTTTTAAAACATTTATTTTCTCAACCAAATGAGTAATCAATATTTTTTTTTTCAATAACTTTTGGTTAAGAAAACAAATGTAACAAAAATATTGATCTTTCATTTGGTTAAGAAAATAAATGTATCAAAAAGTATTGATTACTCATTGAATGGTGCCATCAAAGCACTTGTTAGTTATATCAAAATGCATCGAAAATTCTTTTGCTGGCTTTTCTTCATGAGATTTTCATACTAATCAGTCCAATATTAACTAATTGCAAACCGTCGAATTCGAATCATTAGCGCAGTTTTCTAAGCTATACCACTAACTTTTTAATAGACAGTTTTAGATGCCTTCTCTAACTGTGTTTAAACCTAGCTAAGTTAATAACTAGAAGATTAAGTGTTTATTTTCGATGAGAAAAGCAGTTACAAAAATGGTTAATTCCTGGCAGCAAAACATATTTAGCAACTATTAAGGCTATCACTGCACCGATAGATATGTTGGTCATAGCTAATAGACTTTTTGTCATGAAATTTGTCACAATATTTTGCATTTGATAGCTCTTCAATATCAGACATGTGCTTGTCTATCATATGTGCTCAACAAGTAGCCTTCATTTAATTGATCTATATTATACAAATAAAATTAAAAGAATAACCAATACTTTTTTTTTATTGAGAAAATAGAAGAATATCTTGAGCCAATTTTTGTTCAAGAGTTGAAATATTTCTTGAACCATAAAACTGTCAAGATAAGAATTTTTTTTTTAAATGGATATATATATAACCGATTACAGTTTTGGTAGGCAAAAAAGAAAGCTAAAAAATAAAACGGAAGATTACAATCAAAAAAGCGGGCTCAGTAAGCGACCAGGG